GATTTGTTTACATGTGGAAGTAATCATTGTCAAGAGCAAGGAAAAAACATGTGACACCCCAGGAACACTTTGTAAATAGAATAGGAACAGTTTGTACACAACCTACCAAAACAGACGAAGAAAGGTCCAAATGTGAGCGAGCGTTGACTGAATGAGAAAATAAATATGCCCTCTCTTGCTTTGACGGTTAGATTAGCTGTGGCCATTACGTAATCTGCTCCTGGCAGGTCTTACCATCATCTTGCTTCTCATTTGTGGTGATATTTCATTCTTAGTCAGAGTGGCTGATTGGGTGATTTTCATGTTCTCTCTTTGAGAGATCTCCAGTACTCTCATCATTGAAGTATTTCTTACCCAATGTTTGTGGGGCTCTGGCCTGTATTTGACCCTCTCCATCTGACCGTGTTTAGTTGTTACCATGGCTAGTCCTGTCCTTCACTTCTTTGCACAGACCCAGGTCCTCATGGATCACCCTGTCACCCTGCAGCATTCGCACCATCCGTGGTGTACCAAATTCCATCCAGATGGGATTTTACATAATTATACAGTAAATATGTGTCAACGCACGCCTTCTATTATGAAATACTCTGATTAAAAGAGCACAAGGGTGAGTCATCTGTGCCGTGTAATGACCTTGCCATCACATCTTCGTTTTATATCTGTCTTCTTTCTCTGGACTGTGTCATGAAGAGCAGGGGCACCTGGAAGGGGACTTGGCCCCAGGACTATGGTCTGTGGCTTGTGAGCACAGAGATGGGCTATCGGGCTAGAGGTACAGGAGGTGATGACAGTTACTGGACCAACAAGGGCACAGCCAAGTAAGTATAGGAACCGGGACCCACTCTGGAGTGAGAAGAACACACCAAACCAGTAGCCAGAACAGCGTTGTCAGGAATGATGTGACGCGTTCAGAGACTGGGCAGGAGAGAGCAGGAATGCACACACGACTAGGTATTAGTCAGGCTGTCAGAACGAGAGTAGGCCATCAGGAAAACCGGGCAGGTCTGGGTACCAGAGGTAGAATACAGAGAGGGTTAGAGGCCAGATGGACTTGGACACCCGCAAGTACTTTTCAGGACACTATCTAAAATCAACCTCGTGCCCAGCTGGCATGGCTGTGTTTGAGCATCGACCTATGAACTAGGAGGTCATGGTTCGATTCCTGGTCAGGGCACATACCGCGGTTGCTCGATCCCCAGTAGGGGGCATATAGGAGGCAGCCGATCAATGACTCTCATCATAGATGTTTCTATTTCCCTCCCTTCCTCTGTCTGAAATCAATAAAGACATATTTTTAAAAAATAAGTTATTAAGAGAAAAAATTTTAAAAATCAACCTTGTCATAGTCCTTAAGTGATCTTCCTTATTTCTGATAATAACAGATATAGCTTGTCACCTGGGCTTGAAATCTCAGAGTCCTGTTTGCTTCCCTTTATCTTTGCATGGTTTGGGTTCAAACCATGGCTCTTGCACACATAAGACCTAAGATAAAGTCACTTAACCTCTCAAACTAGCTCGTAAGATGACAATCTTACAGGGTTAGCATGGAAATTGGAGGTGAGTGGTTACCACCCTTACTGGCTTTCAGACAGACTATTGCAGTGGTCTCCAGATCGGTTTCCTGCATCCAGCTGAGCCTCCCCACCTCCTCCAGCTTGAACTCCCTAATGGCATAGCTCTGATCGTGTCAGATCCACCTCAGAAACCTTTTGGGCATCTTCATTACCTATTCGAATAAAGCCCCCAGTTCCTATCCTAGTGCTGAGGACCCTCTAGCACCTGGTGCGGTCTGCATTTCCAGTTTCACCCCGAACACCTCCCTCCCTATGCCGTGTTTCAACCAAATTGAACTACTTGCTGTTTTTAGTACAGGCTCCTGTCCCAGTGGCCTTACTCATGTTTGAACTTCTTTACCACGCCTCTGAGGTTCTAAAACCTTCTTGTCTTTCCCGTCCCTGTCCAGATGCTGCCATAGTTGCACCTCCCAGCACCCGTCTCAGCCTCAGGCTTCAGTAACATCTTCCTCTGGACTTTGGGTCCTTCTCTGAATTTTTGTCCTGCTTACTGCTTGATGCTTTGTGTTGTGTGGAGCCATGACTTGTTTAAGTTCATGTTCTACGTCCTGGAGTTTCTTCCTAAACACTTATTAGCAAGTGTTAATGGGCAATCAGTAAACTTATTATGACAAGTGAGCCAGGCGACGGGATCAGAAGAAGCTGATTGAGCGGCGACGGGTCCATTGGAACTGAAGGGACAGGAAAGCAGCTGCATAACACTGGCCCAGGACGTCTGGGACCCAGGCAGCTTTCTGATGCCAGCCAAGAGCTTCTACACGGTTCTTGTTAAGGTGTGAAGAGATGAGGGAACTGCCCTGGCCGGGTAGCTCAGTTGGCGAGAGTGCTGTCCCAATATGCCAAGGTTGGCGGTTCCGCCCCTGGTCAGGGCACAAGAATCACCCGGTGAATGCATGAGCAGGTGCGCCAGCAAATCAGTGGAAGAAAGGTAAGGGAACTAATTCGAGTGGCTGTTACGTGCCAGTCACCCTGCCAGGTTTGTTTCCATAATTGACACGTTTGAATGCCAGTCAGATCGCAGTCCTTCCTAATATCCTCCCCTGGTGTCTCGTTACACGTACGCAGTCCAGCGCCCCGCCTCGCTGCCCGATCCCGAGCCTGGGCCTTATTTCTGAAACCAGACATACCCACACCTGCCGCACCGCCTCCTCCCCTTTCTGTCTCCTCTTACCCTCCCTGCTCCACTCCTCCGTGAGGGCACAGCCCATGAACCCCAAATGTCTGCCTTGCCTTTCAGCCTTAAAACTGGCCTCATTATGATAACAAGAACAAATACACTGCCTTTGTGTGGTGCTTTACTTTTTCAGAACAGGTTTTAAGGTCATTTCATCTCATCTTATTTCAGTCCATAATCTTTGGACTAGAATGAAATGCCCAGAAAATTTGACAGTTTATCAAAGAACATCTATGCCAGATGTCACGTCCAGTTGGGCCAGCTTGTACCTCCCATTAAGCCTTAGATATGTTCTGAAAAGTTTTATTTAGAGTTTTGCTAATCACACTGTCTTTAAAATGTGCTATAAAGTTTTTTGGGTCTTTGGAGTGAAACAGGAAACATGCAGTTCTAATAAAGACTGTGAGAAGGTGATTGGTGGAGAGGAATATGGGGGAGTTTGCTTTTCACTTTTTATCAGAACAAGGGAGAGGGAGAGAGAGAGAAACATCAGTGATGAGAGTCGTTGATCGGCTGCCTCCTGCACGCCCCCTATTGGGGATCAAGCCCGCAACCCGGGCCTGTGCCCTGACCAGAAATCAAACCAGTGACCTCTTGGTTCATAGGTCGATGCTCAACCACTGAGCCATGCTGGCAGGGCCCTCAAAAATTTTTTTAACCACATACTTCTAGTATCTATTTAAATTAGTTATATATGTATACCCTGGGAAATTGCTATTCTCGTTTTTGTAATTATTTTTTTCCAAAAGCAGTTAGACCATGTTAGGCAATTTGGAGCATAGAAGAAGAAAATAAAATCATTCCAAATCCTACAGTAACGCTGACCATTTGGGGTTGCCCTTTGAAAATGGATTCCAGAGGGGACATTTTGTAAAACGAATGACCCGACTGTTTGAACCACTTCTGTAAATTAGTTCCAAATATGATTTTTATAGTAGGGAATTCTGTAGTTAGTCAAAGAATTTTCTTCATGTCTGAAGATTATTCATCTTTTCATTTTGACCGGAATGAAACCTAGAGGTCTGTCATGAGTTTCTAAACCCAGAAATAAGGAGAAATAACAACCCATTCCCAGCTCAAGCCTCAGTCCTAGAAGCCCATTGCGGTTGGTACATGTGCAGAGTATGCAGCAAGGGCAGTTAGGGAGAATGAAGGAAATAGAAATGCAGAAGGTGAATGGTCATAATTTTGCTGTTGGGCCCGGCTGGCATCGCTCAGAGGTTGAACATTGACCTAGGATCCAGGAGGTTGCGGTTCGGTTTCAGGTCAGGGCACATGCCGGGGTGGTGGGCTCGATCCCTAATAGGGGGCATGCTGGAGGCAGCCGATCAATGACTCGTCATTGATGTTTCTATCTCTCTCTCTCTGTAATCAATAAAAAAATATTTTTAAAAATTTGCAGTTGGTTGGATGGAGGGGGTAAGGAAGATGGTAAACCCAAAGATAATCAGATTTCAAAAGTGGCAGGCGACTTAAAGAGATTTGGTTTTGGAATTGAAATTCCTGGGTTCAAATCTTATTTCTACAATTTGTTCGCTGCCTGATCTTGGGCAATGTTCTTAACCCCTGAGCCTCAGTTCTCTCATCTGTAAAGTGGGATAATATAGCACCTACTTCATTAGGCTGTTGCAGAACTTAAGAGAGAAGATCCACATAAAGCACTTAACATCGTGCCTGAGTGTTTTCCATGTTTAATCATTCATTAATGGTGATGCTATTTTTTAAGATAGGGAACAGAAAAAGCAGCTCAGAGGTGAGAGATGTGAAGGAAGACAATTTCATCTCCTATTAGCTGAGTCTGAAGTGCCCAAGGGAAATGCATTCAGCAGTGCCCGGGAGACTGATGTGGGCCTTGGACAGAAAGGGGCTTGTGTCTGCTGCTGCAGGATTAAGGATCCTGGCTCTGCCACTGAACTTGGCACTCGTTTTCTGACCCTGTTATGTGGATGGTCTCAAAGCTCTGTCTGAACTTGTGGAAAATGTTTTATTACCTGCAAAACTTGCAGGTGCTCATTAGTGTGTACGTGGCTACGTGCTGGAGAGTTTTTGTGCTTTTCCGGCCACTGGCTGCTGCGTGTGTTTGTGCTGGTGGTTCCCTGCTCCGGGACGCTAGCTGAGGGGGCCTGAGGTGAAATCCAGCTATCATCTGGGCGCCAAGCCACGTGCCCTTGGCTGCATCCGAATGGGCTGGCCGTGGTTCTGCCCTGGGAATGTTCGCCTGCCCCCCGACGGGTGGGGCTTACTGTTGACAGTTAAGTCTCTGTTGAAGTGAAATTCCATGTGGCCCATAGAATTTTCTTCTATAGGGACTACATGCTGGGTATGTTACTTACACTGTCGTTCTTGTTCCGTGCAGATCATCAATGCTGTGGTGCTGTTGATTCTGTTGAGCGCCCTGGCTGATCCAGATCAGCATCACTTCTCAAGTTCTGAACTGGGAGGCGACTTTGAGTTCATGGATGATGCTAGTAAGTACATCAGATGGCACTTGTAGATCTTTTGGTATTTTCAGGGCCAGGGAATCTGGCTTCCAGTTCTTGCTATTAAATTACAAAGATTGATTCACGGGCCCATTTGAACTGATGAATTTAACTTCCCATCATTACAGATCAGACCAATAAGTATTTATGTGCTGTCCTCTGTTCTAAGTGCAAGAGTCTAAGATTTTTTCCCCCCTTTTGCACCTTACGTTAACCTGTCCATTTTAAAAATTGCTGTGTCATAGTCTTTTTAACCTGGACTTTTGGTCTTTCTGGGAGGAGGGTGAGTGAATGACAGGAAGGAAGGTCAGAAGGATAACTCATGTCCTATGGTGTCTTCTATTGGTGATCATTCTTCATTCTAGAAACTATGTTGGTCGTTATTTGATGGATTTGGGGCCTTTTTCTGATAAGTAGAAACATAAGCCAGGCACCCAGCTCAAAGGTCACAGAGATCTGAATATTTTATAATTATAGTCATGCCCTGTCCCTGCTAACTGAAAAGGGGCCGACTGTGTATCATCCCCAACAAAAAGTCATACAAGTTTATTTCTCACTGGCTTTGGAGAACTTTAAATACATTGGAAAAAATATTGGTGGGGCAAAGTAAGGGGGAGAGTGGTTCACGATGCACTTTTAGAGACGGAGTATTTGTTGACCTTAAACAAATAGATAGCCAGCTATTTCTCCAGCAAGATTTTTTTTCCAGAACAACAAAGAATTGCAATTCAGGACATGGAGTTGATACTAAATCTATGCTTTACCGTCAACTTGTCTAGGAAATCCCATTGTATGTTTGTGACTGTGTTAAATTTATCAATTAGCTTAGGCAGAAATGATATATTTTCATGTTGTATTTTGTCTGGTTACATCTTTTTTAATGGTTTTATTGAGGTATAGTTTATATACCTTAAATATTACCCATTTAAAATGCACAATTCAGTGATTTTTCATAAATTTACAGAGATGTGCAACTTTTAAAAAATATCTAATTACAACTTATTCCTTTCCACTTATGCAAATCTTCTTGAGTGCTCCTTAATAGTCTTTCCAAAATTTTCCATATAGATCATGCATGTTTTTTATTAAATTTATTTTATTTCCTTCTCTTCAGGTCTAGTCGCACATCTCGTTTCTCCAGTGAACTAATAACAAAAATATAAATGCTGTTTATTGTTTTTTTTTCCCCTTTTATTATATAATCAATCTTTGTGAGACTTGGTTATAGTTGTCACTATCAATCTCTCAATATAAAAGTGTGGCTGGCAGGAGGTAATTTCCATATTTTAGAAAGTGAGAAGTTAAGAGAGAGTTTCTGAGATTGACATGTAAATATATTACTTAGTTAACTAATCCTGCACAACTTTTTATAGCTTATTTTAAACCTTTAGGCTCTACAACATGGATGAACCTTGAAAATATTATACTGAGTTAAAGAAACCCGACACAAAAGGCCACATACTGTATGATTCCATTTATATGAAATGTCTCTGAGGTAAATCCATAGAGACAGAAAGATTAGTGGTTGCCAGGGGCTGGAGAGAGTGGGGGTTGGGGAGCATCTGCTAAGGATCTGGGTGTTTTGGGGGTTTTTATTTGTTTTTTTAGAATGAAAATATCCTGGAATTAGTGGTGAAGGCTGTGCAACTTTATAAATATACTAAAAGAAACCAGTGAATTGTACATTTTTAAAAGGGTGAATTTTATGGCATGCGAATTCTGTCTCATTAGAAAATAATTTTATGAGGGAAAATAAGACCCAGCACAAATAACAAAGGACATATGTCAAAATCTTTATTGTTCCTCTTGGCTGAAAATAATATTGTGTCCTCTGAAGTCCCCTAGCTCTTCCTCTCTTGTTGAAATTTTCTTTCCCTCCTCCCAATAGATGCTAAGCATCTGAGAACAAGTTGAGGAACCTTCATTTTCTTAGAGATGGCACATGGTCTTGCTTGCCATGCCTGCATTTCTGCCCTAGAATGTACTCCCACCTTGTGCTTCTGTTTGTAAACCTCCTGCTGAATATGTTGAGGATACAGAGAGGATGGCCCTAAGACTGGGATACTTTCCTTTGAGACATGACCTGTAGGAAGTGGCAGCCAGGCTGCTTCACGGTCACTATTCAACACTTAAGTAGAAGCAGCACGAACAGGAGGAAGAGCCAGAGGTTGGAATCGTAAGAGCAGGATTAGTCATTGTTCAGCCTTTTGTGCAAACCCTCAGCGAGTTACATAACCTCAGCCCCAGTTTCATAATCTGTTCGTGGGAACAGCATCTGCCGCAGAGTTAGGGAGACTAATGAGATGCCTGCGAGATGCCCCGGAGACAACAGCAGACGCCTGCCTGCGTAGCTTTTTGTGCCCTCTTAGTAGGTGGTCACCCTGCCCATTACTTTTAGAAACCCAGTCATCAACCCAGGCACACCATACTTTTAACCAGAATCTCCTAAAGATGCAGTAACGACCTCTCAAATAAATGCTCAGTTAGTACCTCCTGGGCTACAGGTGTTGTTCTAGATCAGCATGTTCAATAGCAAAATAATATAAGCACGGATGTATTTTAAATTTTCTAGTATCTGCGTTAAAGAAGGTAAAAGGAAACAGGTGAGATTCATGATATATCTTATTTAGCTCAGTATATCCAAAATATTATGTCTGCATGTAATCAGTATATTATTAATGAGATATTTGACATTCTTTTTTTGTAATAAGTCCTTGAAATCTGGAGTGTATTTCACTCTTACAGCACATCTCAATTCAGATTGACCTCATTTCAAGTGCTTGGTGTCCACATGTGGCTAGTAGCTGCTGTGTTGGCTCTCTGTCCCCTCCTCAGTGTTGAGGTTGTAGTTGTGAACAAGATGGACAAAGTCCTTTCCCTCCCAAGGTTCCTCTAGCAGAGGGAGCTGGAAAATACACAACACATGTGAGTAAGATAATCGTGATGTACGCCAGAAACAAAATACAGTAGTGACATGGGAGTGCCTGGGGAGGCTCCCTCGGAGGTGTTGACGTGGAGCTGAGACCTGCGTGGCTCAAGGGCAGAGCTAGTTCTGTGGAAATAGGAGTGATGTTTCTTCTAGTCAGTACCCCAAGGCGAGGCGAGCTCGCTGTGTTTAATGAGCCACGTGGTACATATGGCTGGGTTATAGTGAGAAGAGAGTGTGGGCTGAGGTCCGACGAGATGGGAAGAGGAGACCTGCTTTGGAATAAGCAGAGACGTGAAGGCCATGACAAGAAACGGAGATTTTATATTAAATGAGATGGGAAGGCAGTGGAGGGCTTCAGCAGGAGCATGAGGCACACACGAGTTTATAAAATACAAGTTAGACACCTATATGTTAAAAAATACCTATTATATAGATATAATTCAGTGGACCACATGACCAACTTTTTAAAATATCTGTAACCAATATCTCTTTCACACTTTTGAAATAAACTTATGTGTAAATCAATCTCTTATCTATAGGCATTTATATGATTTAGGAAGAACATCTTCTGAGCATTTCCCTTAACTCATCTCCTCAAATTCCAAAAGATCTCTGGTGCTTTGCTTAGTATGAAGTTCTCACTTATAATTGGTTTATAAACAAAATGCCTTTGAGGAGCGACTAAAGAAATGTGTAAACAATGGACCTACTAATTTTTTTTTAACCTTTTCAGACATGTGCATTGCGATCGCCATCTCTCTTCTCATGATCCTGATATGTGCAATGGCTACTTACGGGGCATACAAGGTAAGCAGCTCTGCAGTAAGCTGGGCTTTCAGGAGGTTCAGGCAGAAAAACCCAGTCCAGGGAGGGGATCTTGCAATGTCACCTTCCCCTAATCGGAATTAATTTTAATCGGTAGGAGGGCTTCCAGCCAGCGCCCGTTGGCTAGATGCCCTCTGAGTGCCATTGTCTCCGAGCTGCCTAACGAGAATTTGCTTGCCAGGTGTGTTCAGCCCTTCCCCAGCTACCCGTGAGTCACTCATACTCACTTCTAAACTCTAATACCTCGCCCCCCTTTTTTGGTCCAAACTGTGATAATATACCCAATGTCTCAATCCCCCAAGAGCATGTGTTAACATTTTGAGTTTTTCCTGTTTTAAGAAAGAAATTCTGGGCCTCTCCTCGGCCCCTTGCGTGTGTGACCTGCACAGCTGTCTGTGGGGATTCCGAGGGCGTCATTCTCGGTTTCTATAAGAACCTTGAAAGATAACTCTCTTGTTACTCTGTGTCCTGCTAGGAAAACGAGCGTAGTCTCGGAAGGGCTCGCGGAGAGTGGCCTGCCGACTCCTGTTTGCTCACCAGTCGCCGCCGTGGCCTGGTTTAATGAGCTGTCTTCCTCCAGTTCCCTTCCGTAGAAAAAGTTCCTCTGAATTAAAAGAAACCATGTTTTGTAATGTTGAACATGAACGTTGACGTCGTGTCTCCTCTCATACTTAGCAACATGCGGCCTGGATCATCCCCTTCTTCTGCTACCAGATCTTCGATTTTGCCCTCAACACCTTGGTTGCGGTCACCGTGCTTGTCTATCCGAGCTCCATTCAGGAGTACGTTCGCCAGCTGGTGCGTGGCCGCGACCGCTGCTGCAGAGGGAAACCCGGGTGGGTGGCGGGCGGGGGCGCTCGGACAGGCACGCACACGTTTTAATTCGTGGGTTTTCAACTCGCGTTTGAGTTTGCGATTAGAGATTTTTTTTTTTTAGAGAGAGGAAGGGAGAGGAGAGAGAAACATCGCCGATCGGGTGCCTCCTGCACGCGCCCAGCGGGGGATCGAGCCCACCTCCCGGTCCCTTGGTCGACGNACCCCCAGCGGGGGATCGAGCCGACCTCCCGGTCCCTTGGTCGACGCTCAGCCACTGAGCCACGCCGTCTGGGCCGTAGCAGCAGATTTTGATCTTCCTAAAACGGTTTCCTTTGACCTGTAGTTAGTCAGTATGGTCAGATGGTAGAACTTGATTATGTTTTCAATGCTGTAAATACCTATTATCAAAGGTTCTGAGGGAGAAGTAGCATCACCAAAAACACTCTGTAAAAAGGACACTGTTTTAATAGGTTTCTCCCCCTGGCCCTGCACAGTCTCTTTAGAATGGTCCAGAATTTGCAGGAAATCCAAATATCAGCGGTGTTTAAAGGCTCTCCTTACTGCCTGTCAGCCTTTCGGCCTTTTGTACAGTAGGAGGGCGTGGGTATGTGTTCAGGTCTCGCTCGTGAATCTCCCTCAGGTTTTCCTTTTCGAGAGTTACTGCCTGAGTTATGAAGCTAGCCTCCCTTCCACACCGCTCGGAGCAGGCTAGAAATCCTGCGGGGTCTCACTAGCCGTCTGCTCTCATGCCTCCTGCCAAGCACCTGTGGTTGGCGCCCGGGGACCGGGATCCCGAGGGATGCGTGAGGTTTGCTGACGGCGCTCTCCCTTTGCAGCCCCCTAACTTTCCCTACAAAGATGACATCTTGTCGGTGAATTCTACCTGTTTGGTCCTGATTACTCTTCTGTTTATCAGCATCATCCTGACCTTCAAGGTAAGACAAAAGGTGGTACTTACTGCCTGGGTGTTATCAGTGTGTTCACGAAGGCCAGAGGAGCACGCAGGCTTCAGTCGCCTCGTGTTCTTGCGTTGGACGCCTCAGCTGCCTTCTGATGTCCTGACGTTCTGTCCCTTCTCTCACCTGAGGGAGAAACACTAGCCGAACCGCCACAGGCCAGGCCAGGCCAGGCCAGGCCGGGGTGGTTCCAGTCTGTTAGGATGAAGGTAAATCAGTGCAGGGCTGTGCGTTAGGGAGTCTATAGCGTATGCTGCAACATTCATTACAATGCTTGTAATTTGTTTCTAAAATGCAGCAGACTCTGAACGTTGTTCAACAGTCTATTATGTCAACTTATCATTATTTAATAAATTACTTACTGTCGGCCATTGAGATAGTTTCTGCTCTTTCAGTTGTGAATATTGCTGCAGGGAATAAATTTAAATGCCTCTTTTGTGTAGTTTGGCGCTCCTCAGGATACCTGTCTTCGTCGCGGGTCTGCGTAATTTGAAGGCCTTTGTGATAGGTTGTCACCTTGATCTCCACGGAAGCGGAGTGTCCCCCCCCTCACTGAGTGCTGCCCTTTCCTTTCATCTTTATAAACCTGGTCATGGAAACATCATCATTCACACCTGGGTGCTGCTGATACGTAGAAAATTCTCAAATTATTATTGCACTTTGAACTTTTAATTCTTAAGATCATTCATAGCCTTTATTTTGACATCAGATTACCCAGTTCTTCAAAAATTCAAACGTCAGTAAGCTCGAGGAAGCTGCATTTAGGGAGAAAAGTCACTTTAAGTAGATAATATGATGACTTGAATCAAAGAAAACGGTTCGTTGAAAATCATTTGGGGCTACATTTTCCCAAGGATTGTGATAGTGCGTGTGCAGCTTAGCGGTCAAGGATTTGGGTGAATTTTAAAGTCTTTTTGGTTTAGTAGAGTCAATACGCGCACTTATAATTCATGTAAATAAAAGTTTTGTAATGCAGCCTTATCTCTGGCGATACTTGGAGTTTGAACAGGAAAGGTAACCATCTCCCCCGCTTTCAGGGTTACCTGATTAGCTGCGTCTGGAACTGCTACCGATACATCAACGGCAGGAACAACTCCGACGTGCTGGTGTACGTTACCAGCAACGACACCACGGTAGGTGCCGCGTCACTTTCGGGGAGGCCTCTCCACGTCTGCTGTGGGACAGCCTCTGAATGTTTCTAGTGGTGGCTGTGCCTTTACTGTTGTTGAAACATATCATGAGCTGCTTAGTCGTCAGAGGATTCATAGTTGAATGAAATGTTTCATTTTCCTTAAAGCGTAATAAAATCCAAATGGCTCACCTTTCAGTTTATTTGAAAAACTATTGCAGATAGAAAATATATGTACCTTTTCCCGCTTTGTGTATCTTAAACCTGAGTTATTAAACCGTAGAAGATAATTCTGCATAGTGTGACTGTACTATCTCACTTGCCATGTGAAATTACACCTAGAAATGTGATATGATGGGTAGAGAAATGAGAATGGCAGTGGTTGCTGTGTCTTTAAAACTTGCCCTGCATGTGGAAACCTTAGTAAAAGAACTTAGGTGATCTTTGTTCTATTACTGTTAAATTTTCAAGCCTCTCAAATTGATTTGGGGAAACACATCTTCCCTGAAAGAGTCCTGGAAATCATTTGCACTTTATGTAAATCACTTTAAACTGCCTGGCTCACAGTAAGATAAAAATGTAAGTCCTCTAGGTGTTAACCTACCTTTGCATTGAGCACGGTGCCTGGCGCTGCGCTGTGTGGATACGTGCTCCACGGTGCGGATGAGCCTGTGGGATGGGTGCTGTTGCAGGGGATAGAATGGGCAGGACCGGTAGAAGGTAAACATGAATGGCATGTGAACTCTAAACTAGACGAGAATTTTGTATTTTGCTTTTTTTTTTTAAGTTCCGGTGACTTGTTCACTCTGTGCCCTTTCTTAAATAATTTAACCTGTCTCTGCCATTACTTTCTTGTGTGTAAACTGGGAATAAAACAATTATATTAAGTCTATCGATGCAAGCTGATACTGCTGAGAACCCTGTGGGATTTCTGAGACAAAGCAGGTTATCCGTGAATAGTTCTCCTGGTGCTCACCAGGCATTTGTTGAATCGCATGTGCTTGGGCAGTGGTGTAAGAAGAGGCTCTGCCCTGATCAGAGGCACAAAACCCAGTGCACCCAGGTACCGAGGGGCCCTTTTCGGCGTCTACAGGATCCTGTGCACTGATTACAGTAAACACGTCGACCTCACTCCTTAAAGAATTTTGCTTGAGTCAGTCAGTCTCTCTAAATAAATAACTTCAAAATTATCCTAATTTTGATAAAGCTCCTGGCTTAGAGAAATTTTTCCTTCTGAGTTTCTGGATATTCATAAGTTTCCATTTTTCCTTTAAATCTGCACATTTATTGTCCTGCTTAAGTAATGAAAAGTCTATGCAAAGTGTGAGATTTTTGAGTTTGAGGAACCGATGAAGTTACTAAACAAACGAGGTATAGCGGGACCCTACCCTGAATATCGTGATGGTGGGACTGATAAAGCTACAGTACTTATGAAGCTTCTCAGAAAGGGGAATGTCCGTACTGGGCGTGCTTTGATATCCTTTGGTGGCGGTATTTTTGCTCCTTTCTTAGGGTTGAGTGTATGTTTAAAAGAAGCGAAGTGGAAAGGCTACAAAGATCCACGTTGTACGAGAGACTTCAAATCAAAGGATATTCTGAAATTTAGAAATGTAAGAGAGGTGCTCAGAGAATTTAAGTCCCCAAAATACATCCAACGAACTTTTTAGAGGAAACTTTTTAACGGGACATCCCCAGCTCTTCTAATAATAGACCTCTTTCCTCAGAAAGGCTTCCAGCTTGGCAGCAGTTTGCGGTAACGGGGGTTGGGGACCGTGGACTAGGGCCAGCTCTGGCTGTTCACCCCGGTGTGTTGACATCAGATGCCGGGGGGTTGCTTGATGGCAGTTATTGGTCACTGTCTCCTCCGTCATTCTCTATCAACTTTAAGGTAAGGGGACCAAGTTGCTGCTGATGTGTTACTGCTTTGTCAGGGTTCCCAGTGAGACTTTTTTTCATTTTTTGAAGAGTGGCATTCCTGGGAAGAAGAGAGTTACCATTTCTTATAACTCAGTTGCCTTGACAGTTCATTCCAAAATACAGGATAGATCACCACCCGGAGTCGCAGCTTTCTGACAGTATTTAATTTAAAAACAACAACAACATATAATGGTATTGTGGTTATTTTTTTAAGCATACTTATATATAAGATAATTTATATATAAAATAATTTCTTAATACTATAGATATCCAGTAAGGGCTCAGATTTCCAGTTGTTTCATAAATGTCATAATTTTTCTATCAGTTTATTTACAACAATCTACGGATCAGTACAGGGGGTTGGCAAAAGTAGGTTTATAGTTGTGAGTATGTGTAAGTTTATTCTTGGAGTATTATTTACTAATTATTGTATTAACCTTCCACACGAACAGCTGTCAACCTACTTTTACCTACCCTGTATGTATCTTAAGTCTCTAATTTTGCTAAAGAAGCTAGTTTGTCCTGCAGACTGGGTTTTTCTGATTGGGGTCCTTTGTGTTTCCAGTAAATTAGCTCTAGAGCATTCTGTATTCGTATTTACTTTTTCCACTTGTTTCCAAGATCACTGCACAGTTGATTATTTGTTCTTCCACCAGGAGGCATATGCTGTCTGGCTGATTCTGTCTTTCTGGGATGTGAGCAACCATTGCTACCCAGTGTCTAAACATTGATTCTTTGGGGGCTATGTTATTATGACAGAAATGCTCTCTTTCCTTTTTTGTTTATTAGCTGGAATATTTCTGTAAGTAGAAGCTTTCCCTCCTGCATGAATCGACTGCCCAGTAGTAGTTGTGACTTGGGTAAATAGACTTGGTTTTGTCTCTGTAGCTATCCGTTTTCAAAATGATGGGTTGGTCCCTCATTCTCTGGTGGTGACCAGTGAGGAGCGGGGTTGGTTGGTTGGTTTGTGTGGTTTTTGTTTTTTTGCGAGGTGTATTCGAGGCCTGTTATTAGAAGAGCTGTAGACGTCCAGCTGAAAAGTACAACTATTTTGATAAAATTATTGAGTAAGCCTAAATAAAACTTATCTACCATTGATACCCATTTTGAAACTTTCAAAAGGGGGAAGATAAAAGCTTTCTCTAAAAAGTTGATACATTACAGTTAATATGCTTAGAAATGCTCCGATGGTACCATTTTTGGCCATTCGGAGCCTCTTCAGCTCGGTGCCGGAACTTCGGACGTCTTTGGTGGTGACCTTGCCATCTGGCACCACAGGTGTTCTGCGCTCGCCTTGTACGTCGCCTGCCCCGGGCTCGGAAGCAGCCTTTCTCCGCGGAGCACAGCGCCCGTGTCCTGCAGACCGCGGTCTGGAGTTGAGGGTTGGAGGGCGGGTTCCTCTTTGAAGCAGAGCTCCTCATGTTTAAAGATTGTTTTGACTAGCACTAAAGGAGTTAATGTAAATGCACTGGAGGCTCCCCGAGGTCCTAAGGGGGGTTGGAATGACCGAGTTCTGCTGCTTTCCCTGTCTGCCAGCTGCATTGGGGCCTCGTGGGGTGTAGTGGGGTTTGTTGTCCTTTGTCCGGGTCTTTCTCGGGCATCTACGCGGACATGACAGCGTGTGTGTCTTTCACTTCCTGTCAAATATTAGGCCAGGTGGCTTTCTCCCAGGCTGAGCAGTCTCAGGGCGAGCTGTGTGGAAAGAAACTGGGGCTCTTGGTGGAAAGTAAGTGTCCATTTTTCCCTCTAAAACAGTACATATGTTATTAGCCAGACATGTACTGTCCCAAATATGACTCAGTGAGAACAGATAAGAGTTATTAGATATTGGAGATCATTCTGTGGGTTAATCTCTCTTCCAGTTTCCCAACCAAATCAAAGCAAAAAACCTTTGAAGGAAATGCTAAGACAAAAAGGGCACAGACTCTTTTCATGCCTGATGCCTTAGGGTCTAAAAGAAATACCTAACTGATCATTTCATGAAGTGGTCAGGTCCAGGTAAGAGCAGTAGCTAGTGTAGTGTCTAATGGGTAGGTGTTGAAAATTTAAAATATCCTGAGGTGCTTCTTTGAGTGACTGAAGCATTTGTAGGACAAGTGTTCGAACCATCCCAGGGGTTTCGTAGCCCGGCTTTGGCCTGGATGGACTCGGAGTTGAGTTTCCCTCCCGCAGGTGAGTTGGAAGTGGCAGCACTGAATCCTTGGGCTCTTCTTAAGGGTATCTTTTTCCTGAGAAAGTTTTAATTCTTCCATTTTTATATGACTTCTGTAATGTAGCTATGATTCAGTTGACTGTTTAACGAGGTGGTGGAACGTGATGCTGAAGCCCATTCGTGCAGGATTTAACAGTCTGGTGCCAGTGGCCGCTCTCCCTGGTTATGAGCTCCCATACCCGGTGTGTGCCCACACGTGTGCCGGAGGCTCGGCTTCAAAGTCAGACGTGCCGCCGCGGAGAGGAGAGCTGCTTTGCTGCAGAGAAGATGTGTTTGTCCTCAGCTCCAGCAAGGGTTTTAGGGTCCCTAGTGGAGACTCCTGCTAGATACTGGATAAAGCTCCTCATGGGGGTACACAGGCCTCCTTCCTAGTCCTGGACACACAGCCCTCAGGCCCTCCAGGCACCGTGACATCAGACACATGTGAGCAGGGTGTGAAAAGCTCCTAAAGGGCCAAAAGTCTCTTGCCATTTGCATCTTTAAAGTTTCAAAAAAATCTCTCCCTGGCCCGGTAGCTCAGTTGGTTAGTGTCATCCAGATACCCCAAGGTTGTGGGTTTGATTCCTGGTCAGGGCACATAAAAGAACCAACCAGTGCAGGCATAAATGAGTGGAACAACAAATCTCTCTCTCTCTCCCTGTCCTCCCCTCCCCCTCCCTCTCTAAAATCAATAAATTAAAAAAAAACCCAACAGATCAAAAATTCTCTCATCAAAGTCTAGCCACCTGCTGGAAAATTTAAATTGGTACAGTCATGGGAAACATTTGATTGAAGTTAAACGTTGTGCACTTTACAGCACTAACCCTTGTCCTCTCTTCTTCTCCTTAGGTGCTGTTGCCCCCCTATGACGATGCCACCGTGACTGGCGCTGCCAAGGAGCCGCCACCCCCTTATGTGTCTGCCTAAGCCTGAGAGCGGGGTGGAGCCGAGCATGAACTGGACCCACAGACTCCAGAGCAATAGTTCTCTAATCTCACTTCTGAGACGAGCTCCTGAGCTCATTTGTTGCTGAAATGCTACAGTTTAAAATTTTTAGTGTTAAGTTGGCACCCTCCGTAGTTTTAAACGTATGCTTTAGCGAGAGCACTGTGGTAGGCTACCTGTAGGATTCCTCTGTAGGGTGCAGCGGGCTTCCCTGGGCTCCCTGGGCTCCCTGGGCGCTGAGACGTCCCAACCCTCTGGATGAACCTGGAGGCAGAGAAGTCTGGTTTTGTACGTGCCAGGCCCCAAAGTGGGGGAATTAGCCACATTTCCCCCTCTCTGTTCCCTCTGTCTCTTTGAAAAGTGTAAAATAAAAATAGAAATTGAACAATACTTAGGAGCCCTCGAGAACGGGGATGTTAATTGTGAATCATTGCTCCAGTTTGGTAAACGAGTCCATTTATGTGCATAAATAAAACAGGAGTTTCCTTAAGACCCTTTATGACATCAGTAAATTCAGTGACAGTTTGAGTTTGCTGGTCAGGGACTTTGTCCAGGGGCTAAATCGAGACCCTTCGACATTCCCTGTCAGTGAGAGAGCGGCGATCACTGCCCGCGGCTGGACACACCATGCCTGAGGCTGCGGATGGGCGTGTCTCACCCGAGTCACAGGGAGAACTGACCTGTTCGGCCCTGCATGGTACCCGGCTCCCTGTCCCCTGGTTTTCTGTCCCCACTCAGGGCCCCCTTCACTGAGTGTTCTGCCCTCACCTGATTCGAGGAGGACATCTGTCTCCCCTTGTCAGGTGGCATTGCTGACATGTACTCACCTGATAATATGAAAAAGGGTTTCTTTTCTCCCTGCAAGGCACATCCTACTGCTTTGAACTTCCAAGTATGCCCAGTCATCTTTTCACACGAGTGTAGAAACGATTTTCAGAACAACGAGGGAGGGTGCTTTCTTTGCGGACTCCCCTTACCTCGACTACCTGAATTTCAAGGGACTTTTATATATTTGCATATTCAAGAGTCACGCTCTCCTGTGCTTTCTTTCAATGTGCTGTAAATGAAGGCTTCTACGATTAAAGTCAGATTTGCCCACACCCAAGAAAAGACTCCTGACTCTGGAAATTGTACGTAGGACCTTCCCGCCCTCACATGGCTGTGCAGACACTCACAGTCGGGCCTAAGGAGGAGGCGTTCTAGCTTGTTTCACACGTATGTTTCTTAATATTTCAGTGCTGATGAAACCAAACATCTTAAGCCAAGAGAAATGGGTTTTTTAAAAATTACATAAGTAATGTGTTGCAAAAAGAAATAGAAAATAAAGCCAATAACATCCTTTGGATCTCAACTTGAAAGTCCCTTCCTTTCGGAAGCCTCTACGACCCTCTAGTCTGGGAGGTATTTGCTTTATGTTCTACCATAGCACATCCAGTGTCCCAATCAAAGCACACCCTGTACTCATGGCTCCTGTCGCTTTTCTTGTCTGCAATACCCCGGGAGATTAGACCCTTAGAGTCAGCATCTGTGTTCTGTCCTCAGCGCCTGGCACTGGCAGGCCCTGTCACCAGTCCTTTGTTCCAGTCCTAGGTGTAGGGATGAAAGCAGCAGCAATCCGTGTTGCTGACTGATGCTTCCATACATAGCACACCCACCCTCCCTTCAAAAGTGGGAACTAGTCTCCAGGGAGACGGGTGGTGGTTCAGCCTCGCCAATATTCACGAAAACGAGTGAGATGCTCACCCACTCTGGCCTGCGCCTTAAGCCTTCCCGCTCCACCCTGTTACCTCGTTCTTAACAGGGAACCTCATCAACCTGTTTCCACAAACACTGCACCCCAGTCCCTTCCACAGCACGGCCTAAGGCAACACCTAAACAAGCAGGCGTCCTGGTCCCTGCCCTCGGGAGCAAACGGTCCAAGTTCAGGATCGCACATGAACGCTTGCATCTTTGGAATGTTACTGTTTTTCCGAACGAATTCCAGACGTGCTATAGTTTCTCCCTGATCGCTTCCATCCTGTCTTTCCACAATTTCACCTAAGACAATGGTGCCATCAGCCAGCCTGTCCTCAAGGGGGCCCTCTGGACACGGAACCAGCTGTCCATGCTGATGGGCACTCGGTAGGAGCAGTGCCCCGGCGAGGAGAGTACCCCGTCCTTAGCTGGAGTGCAAACCCAGCCAGCGTCTTGCAGTGCTGTCCTTTCAACCCCGTATCTCCAGAGCCAACCAGTTGGCAGCCGGTCCAAAGGCAAGACGTCTCCTCTTTCCAGGAGCCCTTCTACCTGAGTGAGAGGGGGAGGGGCTCCACCAGTTTACACGGGACTCGGACATCAGTCACCTAGAGAAACGGTGCAAGTGAGGTGACATTGCAATTTTATATTTCTCACTCATTCGGTACAGGATTTACTTTAGGCTTTGGGTCTGTGAGCCAGTTTGTCTGCTCTTTGGTTTCCTTATACTCTGGTCCACTTTCTGTTTGATAGTCTCACTTCAGTCTATAAAAGTCTATATTTGAGGCTATTCATGAGTGTGAGGCCTGGATCAAACAACCCTCCCCTCGCCACCAAACCCTCACTCTGCAATAGACCCCATGTAGAGACAGAGAACTGAGAGTTGAATCCAGTAGAGTTACCAAGGTGTAATTAGTTTAAACAGTTATAAATTCCATCTAACTCTTTCTAAAAAAAATGTTTTTATTGATTTCAGAGAGGAAGGGAGAGGGAGAGAGACAGAAACCTTAATGATGAGTCATTGATCGGCTGCCTCCTGCAGGCCCCTACTGGGGGTCAAGCCCGAAACCCGGGCAGGTGCCCTGACCGGGAATCAAACCTCGATCTTCTGGTTCATGGGTCAAAACTCAACCACTGAGCCACGCCAGCTGGGCCCGACTCACTTGAATTCTGATACTTCACACCCTTGTCTGCTTGTTTGAGCGCCCACATGAGAACTAAAAACCTTAACGCCACACTGCTGCTAAATAAGATTCTCTGTACACTAAGCTGGTAGCAGGGCCTCTGGCAGAAAAGGCAGCTTCTGGGCTGGCCCAGCTGCCCCTACCATCACTAACTCGCATTCGCTCCGCAGGTAATAAATAAGGCCCTATTGCCATGCCAGGCGCCTTCTGACTTGGCATTTCAGGACACTGAGCTCACTCCTGCTTCCTTTTCTGGCAAACCTGAAGATCATTCTACGAGGTGTAACAACGCCTTGACCTCTTTCACTCGGAGGGCTTCACACAGAGGTTTCCTATTCTGAAGAATTCGGACAGAACGCCCCGGGGGAAACACCCCATTTTAACTGGCGTACACCAGAGTCACTAGAACCAGTTACCAGATTACAATTCCTTAGAATTTGGAAGGATTTCAGTATCACTATTGTTTTCCTGGTAAGTTTACCGGGAATCATGCTGGTGTCTTGGAATTAAGGCAACACATTTTCAATGTAAGTTTCCATAAACTGTAACTCAACTTCCTCAGCCCCGAGGGGATTTTCACTGGCCCAGACTCAGGAAGAATGCTCACCAGTGGGATCCAAGACTTCAGAGACCAAACATTTCCTGAAGACTTCCCTCTGCTTTCTGACCTCTACCTACCTCCTCCCAAAGAAACACAAAGCAACTATTTCTGGTCAGTGCAGTCAGCCAAGAGCGCCCGGTGGGCCCAAGGTGCAGGGTAAGGGCTCCTGAAGCCAAGATTCCTTCTTGGCACTGTGGTGCCTGACGGCGTATGTTAACCTCTTGGTTTATGGCTGCAATTTTAATGACCCGCTTCTGGGGCTTGTCTGAAGAATTGCTTTTGTATGTGGTGTTTTTGCATATTCCAGAAACAGCTATCATCAAATATGCGAAGGTGTGGAGTAACAGCAGCCAAGAACACTTAAATTATCACATTCCGAGGTTTTGAAACTCATTAGCTCAGTTCCGCTGCCTCTTCCCCGTAGCTTGTTAAAACCTGAACTGGGTGCGCGGAGTTACTGGTTTGGGGATAGAATCTTGGAGCTGTTATCAGGAGATGTCCTGGCCTGTTGTGCAGAACCCAGGCACCCCATCTGGCCAGAAGCAGGGAGAGCTGGTCCAGCGACATGCCAGGCCCCTTCCCTGCCACTGACCAATCCTACCGTCTGCATCCCCCCAAAGTTCTGCGGGGACCTCTCAGGTCATGCTCTCCTGCTTTACAAAACTGCAAATATCTTCGCCCATAATAATAACTTCAAAAGTCCTGTCTGAACTAGGCGCTCTCTCCTTCAGGGTAGGCGCTTGGTTTCCTCTCCATCCTGGCATCCTCACTCCCCTCCTTCCTGGGCCTGGGCCCGGGCCAGGGGACGCACTGGTGGGTGTTCTAGGCACTGCCCAAACAGCTCCTGACACTTGTCACCAACTATCCCAATCCTCATCACTTTTTTCTTTGCCTTCGTCGTCGATGGATGCCTCCCGTCCGTCACGACCCCAAGTTCAGGACGTAGGACCCCCGCTGCGCCGCCCTTC